TTATTATTAATGCAAGATATACTTTCTCTTTTCATTTTATTCACTTTTATTTTGATTATTTGCCTTTAGGGTTTGTAGGTTGCCACTGCCTTTATCACCCTTTCTGCGAGATTAAGGAAGTTACTCTGGGATTAATGCGCATTCTGACTATTTTTTGTGTTGACAAATATATTTCCATGTTGTTACTATTATTATTGCATTCAGATAAAAAGGATAAATGTTCACGGTTTCAATACTAAATGCTATTTGGCTGTTAATTACTCCACAACTATCCTTTTAATTGACAAACCTTTTGAAAAGCTATTGCAGTAATTTTAAAGTATGCTGCATCTTTTCTTTCTATTAGTTACATTTATTAGTATTGACTTCCATTCGTTCTTTTTTTTTAGTGGTTAGGCTACAGGATCGTATATTTCTAAACGCCCATCTTTTCATTAAAGATTTTATTTACTTCTAAATGCATAAACTTAAAAAAAAACTGATGCGATCTCTTCTATATATATATATATATATATATATGATACTTAATAAAATAGTAATCATAATTTGAATTAGATCCATTTTTAATTTTAACTTCATATTATAACGACGATACTAATAAATGAATTGTTTGTTGTTTATATAAGGGGCAATAATACTTGGTACCTGCCTCCGTATCTGAAGGCATTTTTTATAACTAACAATATCACGGTTACCATTAATGATTGATTATAATGATTTGATTTCAAATTTGTGACTCATTTCACTATTAGAATATTTGAATTCAAAGCTCATATAATTCAAGAAGTATATATAATTTTAGTGTCACAAATTATAGGGTTCAACTTATCTCAGTGGTCGACCTGATATAATAGAGAATTATATGATTGTTTCATTATAAGCGTAAATGTTTATGCTTGCTTATTTGTGATTTGAATTAATGCTCTAAAAAGGTGAATTAATGAAGGATAAATATTCTACGATCGAAAAGGCTTATGTTCTATTTCAGTAGAATCTACAACACTGAATTTTAGACAAATGCATCAATTTTTTTCCAACCTTTAGGATTATCTTTCCTTTTATGAAAAGTAACCTATGTTATATTGGGATTACATCGGTGAAGCAACAGCTTTAACTAGATGCATAATTCTGACTTCAAAAAATGATAGATTTTTATTTCAATACTCTCGTTTTGTGTCAGACATGATGTAAATATATAAAGCAAAATATATCTTAGAATATTGACACTCTTTTCCCACAGGGGTTGAAAGCAGCACAGAACTCCTTATATATATCAGGAAATCTCATATTATTTACCTATATAGCGAAGGAACTTTAAGCACTTCATCGACACTGAGTATGCTGAGAACATTGTGAGTACATCAAAGATTTCATTAACCTTGAGTGGGCATGAACGAAATCTCTATTTTTATATTTTCTTTAAAACTATAAGTCGTTTATAAAGAAAATAGCTTTCAATTGTTACACTCCGATGCATTCCGTTATATATGTTCAGTTCAATTTGATAAAGGACAAGTTCGATCCTTTTTTTTTAATTATGTATTCGATAATTTTGTAATGGTGATAGTACAGGTAGGGTTTCTGATACAAAATTAGCCTCTTTGTTGTGTCTGTAATATTTTCTGATTCATGCTGGTATTCAAGAGGGTATTAGGTTCCACAGTATAGGATAATTGCTGTATTTTATAGGGTTTTGAAAGGTCCAAAGGATATCTACTTACTGGTTTATCACAAACATAAACATAGAAAATATGTATAGTATCAACGATGCATATGAGAGCGAGATAAGTGACTTTCTAATGGACTCATACCAACTAAGAGAAGAGAACACGTTTTTGAAACATTCATTGGAAAGGTTGAGTGATGAACTGCAAAGGCACATAATAACCTCTCAAAATGAAAATAAAGCTTTGGTAAGTGAGATCACTCGTCTCCAAAACGCTATTGAACAAGTAAAACTTCTTATTGAGAATCATGAAAAGGAGCTTGAGCAACATCATTTAAGACATAAAAATACCGATCAAGTACGTCTTGAAGCCAATTTACCTATACATACGCAATCGGGCGTAGAGCCTCTGTACTCAATAACTATGGAAGAGTATAATTCGATGAAGATACGCGTACAAAGGGCACAAGAGGCTTTGGATATACAAGAGTCAAATTTACATGAACTGACTCAATATCTCCATCATTTCGATGAGGAATTAACACAGCGCTCGATTCAGTTGGTTAATTTTAATGGGGATATAGGACAGGAAAAGAACGATCAACAAAAAAGCAGTGAAACCTTAAAAAAAAGATTAGTAAAACTTTTATATGTATGGAACTCAATGAAATTAGAAAATGCTGCGATTAAGGCATTGCTAAATACAGGTGAACTTGAGGCTTTCCGTGTGAGACGTAGCACTGTGATTGCAATTCGTCAGCGCGAGCCGATATTGCTGCATGTGTCCGATAAAGCTTTATCAGTTGAAGATGCGGCACTTACGCCAGTAAATCCCACGATAATAGTATCGGAGCCACTATTTGTCGCCACCGCTGAGGAACTTCTTGAGTCTCGCCAATGTGCAGTTGAACTTTCAGAGAGATTGAAATTGGAAGAATCAAAAAGGGAGTCTCTTTTTCATCATTTGGAGGAATATAAGTCAAAGCATACCGACATCTTGAATCAGCTTGAAGAAGCACATATGCTGCTTGAGGAGGCTCGATGTAATGCCGAGAATGCTCAGCAAAAAGAGATGTTTACGATGATTATGTTAAGCACTAAAACTACGGAATATGAAGACGATAAAGCTGCTCTTAATGAAAGAATTTTTGATTTAGAATCATCATTGGAACAGCAAAAGGAGGAAATTAGAACCTTTTGGCTAAAAAGATTTGAAGCCTTTAAAATTCGTCAGAAGGATTGTACATTGAAATGTGAGTACGATATCGAAGAGATTGACATTGATATGTTGGCACCTGTGCAAATGTCTTTTCTTAAGTATGAGCCACTTTTTTGTGTTACATTGGAAGAGTTTGATGAGCTACGCGATGCAAATGCGGTTATGGTAGAGAAGCTCGCGAAGATGAGTTCCATCATTCAAAATGCATTTATATCTTCTACTAACAGACTGGATGTTGACAAAGAAGAAATGTTGAAACTCGAAGATTTGTTACATGAACTAACTGATAAAAGGAAGAAATATGAAGAAACTCAACTTTTATTAACTGAAAAAGAAACAGAACTTGAGAGAGTTCGTATTTTTTTCACAACTGAAAGTGAGTACAGGAAAGAAGAATTAATAAAAGCCCAAACTGAGGTTGAGTTGCTCCAACAAGACTTAGGTGTTATATCCAGTAAAATGGAAGATGCTATGCATATTTTCGGCATTACAGATGAAGTTATTACTGAGGCAATGTCTAATCCTGAAAGGACCATTGGAGCGTTTGTTATATCTAATGAAGCTGAGCGTGGCGCGGCGGTTCAGTTGGAGACAAATGAAAATCAATTCCTTCATTCACAACAGATTTTGAGTAGTAATTCTCAGAATAGTAGCATACTTGATAAAATCAATCGAATGATTGTAGAAAGAACTGCAAAGGAGGCTAAATTGGAAAGTATATATCTGGATCTTGAACAATCGCGTGGGGAATTAAAAGCTGCAAAAGAAAATACAGACTCATGGGTACACAAGACGATGACTTTAGAGATGGAGTTGGATGTCGTAAGCCGGCGTACAGAAGACCTTGTCAACGAATTGAGGAAAAAGACCGATCAGTACAATCAGGTAATTAGAGATCTTAACGACTTTGCAGCAAAGCAAAGCTATAAGTATGAGAAGGAACTTATTCAGCGCCTTGCTGCATGTGAATGTGAGCTCTTTGAGTACCAAGAAATTCACAAAGATGAAACTAAAAAGTCTGAAACGCAGATTTCAATACTTCAAGACCAGGTCAACCGTCTGAAACACTTGCTTGAACATGAAGGCATTGTGAATGACGAACTATGCAAAGAAGTTAGCCGTCTTCAGAAGAATCTCATCGATGCCAGGGAAGACATGTTGAAGAAGTTGGAAGAGATCGACATTCTGAAAGAGGAAATGTTGTCTATGGCAAACATACACAAGGAAAATATACACGAAGTGGATGAAGCGCTTGAGAAAAAGAATAAGGAAGTTTCAGATGCCCTTGATAAACTAGAGGAGTTAACTGCGATGCTGCAGGCTGCACGCGAAGGTGAGAAGAGTGCTTTGCACATCCTAGCTGAGTCCGATGCTGAAGTTTTTCGTTTACAAAGAGAAATCGATATACTAAACAGAGTTCAATCAATTTCTAATACCAATACTGATACAAAGATGATATAGCTCAAGGTGCGGTAGAGACAAAACGTCCTCTTCGGAGTAAATGAAAAAAATATGTATAAGGTCTGGATTTCTCATAGATAGTAATTTTATTTTCTATCATGCTAAAGTGAAGTATAACATCAATTAGGGGTAGGATGATGCCACTACAGTCCCTAAACTCCATCTAAAATGGACAAATGAAAATTTTACAGTCAAAGTAAAGAGAAACATGGGTAACGTTAAAGAGTTCCATAAATGATTTGTGAAAGTATTTTCTTATATCAAATTTATTAATTTGATGAGAAAACATAGTAATTATCAAAAGGTTAAAGGGGTAAGGCATTACACACACCGACTGAATTTTTTCATACGTTTATTTTGCATTTTCAGAGCTATTTTGCTTTAGATGCTTAAATAATAATAGATGTTAGATACCTCATGAGCAATACAAGGAATATACTAGATTTACATTTTTTATGATATTAAAAGTATTAATTCAACGAATTGTGAAGTACAAAACATTGAAGTAATTTATTATCATACATTTTCTTTTCAACAAAATTGGCTCTCAAATGAATCTATTTTATTAAGGGTGCTTTCTTCAGGGATTTAGCCAATAAGTTGTACCTACTAAAATATATGTGTAACTATATCATTGACTTTAGAAACCCTTTATTTACTCTTTTTTTTTTTATCTTCCTCTAAGTAACTTTTTTCTCCACTAAATTGGAGAGAGGTTCATGATAGAAAGCGGAAAGTTTGGACGGTCATTTTTTTAACCTTTATTTACCAAGTCCACTTTTTATATTAAGAAGGTTAAACCCTTTTGTCATATTTTTATTAATGCATCAGGGATTAGATGAGATATTGGAGGTGAGTGAACACACACTTGGAGACGAAAAGCCCGACACCAAAGAGTACTATGAGTTACTAAGTGTAGTAAATAGTATAAAGGAGCATCTTCAGAGGGCTAAAAGTAGCAAGTTGACCTCTGAGCTTGCCACAAAAGATGACAATTACAACAACACTGACACTGGATTTACGTCACATAAGGAAGAGATTTCTACAGTTGGTAGTTCTTTTGCTGTGTCTACTGAAGACGAAGACTCAAGGGATTATCGTATGAAAAGGGTTTTAGAGGATGGTGTGCCGCCGCTGGACCCCAGGTTGCAGTATTTATCTAACGAAGAAGCCCTCAATAAACTTAGCTTTGTGTGTGGTATTCTCCTTACACGTGATACAGAACACAATGTTAGTAATATGCCCAAACATACTACCAGGACTCTTGTGAATGCGCTTGAGCTCGCAGCGGTGGTACTGAACTCTGGGGTAATTCCTTGCGATCTTGAGTGTATTACTCCACCCCCTAGTATTTCGTGTAAAACATATGGGACTGTGTCGAAGCAGAGTTTCTCTAGCAACATAAATCAAGAAGATACTGTATCAGCGGAAGTGCCTACACCTCAGAGTCCTCTTCCACAGAAGACTAATATTCGTATATCACTTGTTGATGCTGTGTTAGCTTCTGGTGACATGGTCCATCCCAAGGAATCCAACGAAAAGCTTTGCTTTATTTTCATCGCATCACTCGTGGCTGCAGCCGTTCCCCGCATGTGCCGTGACAGTAGCCAACTGCTAAGCACAGTTGATATCCGGTACCATACTCTTGTATTGTATGGTCCGCGTCTTATGAAAGTAATCCAGCTTCTATTTTCAATATTCTCCTTTTCCAACATTTCATCGCTATTGTTTGAAGAGGTAAAAAAGGCATTAAATCAACTTCTAAAGGCTATCTTTAAGCACGCCGAGCTTAAGGTACGCCTGGCTGAGGAAGGCGGAAGGTCCCATTTTTTGCACACAGGGCAGAATAGGGTTGATATTAAGAATAACAGTAACAGTGGTGATGTTGTACCTGGTGAAAATTTGATTGAAGTGCTGAAATTTTGTTCGCGCATAGCTCAGGTGGCGCCGCTGACCTCCGATGATACGGATACTGCAAGAGCTGTTGTTCATGATACAATATCATCACCTGATGGAGGTACACTAGCTGTACTCTGTGAGAAAAAAATATTTGATAATGATTCTTCTAATAAAGTTCTCACGTCATATTGTGTCTCCACAGCTCTTAACTTTATCCTGCATATCATAGTGAGGGGTGGTTCTGTGTTTCATAATACAGAACCTGTAATTTGCTGTGTCCGTCAAAATGTTATTCCTGCTGTAGTGCGAACATCCCTTTCGACCGATATTGATATTTTTCGGCTTTCCCTTAAGATTCTATTACACTGCTGTATGACCTATGGACCGCAACTTGTGAATGAAAACTCTACAATATTTCGGCACGTGTATTTTCGTGTTCTAGAATCCAAGTTCACTTCGTTAATGCACAAGTCTATGGTGATAGAAGTATTTCAGTGTTACATCGAAGAGCCACAGAATCTTCTGAACCTTTTTTTGAACTATGATTGCAATACCTGTTCTTACAGTATCTACGAGGAAATGATCGGCTATCTTGACGCACTCTCTCGACCCTTACGCAAACATTTTTTGATCGACAACAATGATAAAGACAATTACTTTGAGAGCTTAGAGGCTTTTATAAAGGTTAAGTTACCCTATGAGGTTCCAGAGTCACTTCGCCGAAAAGCCTTAGCTACTTTACTCCTCGTTTCAGGATCGAATGTTCAGTGGATCGATCGATTTAAGACGAACAAGCAGGGCAAAAGCGATTGTAAATGCGAAGAAGACGAAACAAATTCTCCTCAGCAAATGTCCAAATCCATGACACTTGAGACCTTTGCACCTTTAGGAGTGGAGAATGACGAAAATATCATATCAGGAAAGCTCACCTCAGATTTAATGGTTACTAATGAAAACGACATTACTGAACAGAAAGTACGAAGAAAAGCTGAAGGATCCTACGAAGAAGAAGCTGAGAATACTGAGTCACTTCAAAAATTTGGCACGACGCCTGAGAGCACTAGTTCAAGACAAAGCGAGGATTTTTTAAAAGCAAAACACTACAAGGACACAATAAAAGCTTTTTTTATATTATTTAATGAAGTGGCCAACCCTGAAGTAGCCATTGATTATTTATACAGTTCAATCTTGCTGCCGAATGTGAACAGAGGAAATGAGGGATTTGATTCAAAGAATGCCTTAGCAGCTGCGATAGCACGCATAACAAAAACCACCAATCCGCCAAAAAATTATACTCCCAATATGACTTTAGAAGATAAAGATGCGGTAGTTCTCTCAAGTACTCAATTTTTTTTTCCAATGTCGTTAACAATGAGGGGGTTGCTGCATCGGAAGAAGCAGTTCACAAGGTAGCAGTTTTTCTTTTTGAAAACAGGGACTACTTGAACAAACTTGTTCTCGGTAGTTACTTTGCCAGGTGCTTTCGAAACAAGGCTTCGCGCTTGTTACTTGATGAATGGATCAAACTCCACGACTTTTGTAATATGAAGTTGCACAAGGCTCTGCGTTTGTTTCTTGGCGAATTCAAACTTCTAGGAGAAGCTCAGATAGTAGATAAAACGATGGAGTTGTTCGCCGCTCATTACTGTAAACAGAATCCGGATCAATTTTATTCCGCGGAATCGGCATTTATTCTTTCTTACTCCATTTGTATGCTCAATACCGACGCACATAGTCCTCATATCAAGAACAAAATGACCAAAGAGGGATTTATCAAAAATAACAGAGGTATCGATGGGGGACGAGATCTTGACGCCTCGCTTCTTGGTGAGATTTATGAGAGTGTTACACAAAGAGAGATCGTTTTGCGGCCAACAAAGTCTTTCCGTAAAGGTTCATCTTTGGAAATGAATCCAAGCAGTAGGTCAGAAAATGTTGACACAGTGGCATATTCTGTAGATGGAAAGCGGTTAGAGGGCAGCATCTTGGAGTCAATCCCGATTCTCTGCCGCTTTAGCCCCATAGCAACTGCCATTACGGACAATATTCTGCTACCCATAGATACTTTCGGTAGTAATATATTCGGTGTAGCACAGCGCAAACGGAAGGAGATGTACCAAAAGGAACTCCGCCAGGCTCTCAGAGACGTCATAGAAGGGCTACAGTCCTCAAAAAATCTACCGAACTCGGTTTACGTGTCGGCTACCTCTATTGAAAATGCGTTTCCAATGTGGGAAATATCCGTTGAACTCATTTGTGATCAGCTTATTAATTCTTTGATGCAGTTACTTGAGGACTCTGAGCGTCAAACATATTTGACAAATGGCTCTGCAAACCGTTCACACTCTAAAACTATTGAGACACCCATGAGAAGCACAGCGGACCACGAATTTTTCGAAATTCTTCTTCGAGGTGTTACCAACACAGTGAATGTGTGTTGCTCCTTTGGAAATGTAAAACAATTGGAAATGTTACTTGAGCAATGTTTCCAGATGACACAGTTGCAGCAAACAGTTTCTATTAGAGCAAAAAATTCAGTTCAGGATGCTTTCCAAGTGACTGTTCGTCAAACTATCTCACCATCTCGCTTGGAGCTCCTAGCCTGTTTTTTGAATTTGTTTATCTTGAGTGGTGTGTCATTTACTGCACAAGCGTGGGAGGCGGGTTATACAGCAGTTTCACTACTGGACGCTTTGGCGAATGGGCTAGAGGGTATGTGGAAGCGCCAAAGCAAATGTTTGTCGCCACCTTGGCCCGTATCTCCTATAAGGGGACCTGAGGATTCTTCTAGACCGCTGCAAGAGTGCGTCTCACCGGAAGATCTATGGTTCGGGCCCTTGGACGAAGTTCCTTCGAGTATCGATATAGACTCCATAGAACGTCGTGAGACCATATTAAGAACGATTCGATCGTTTCGCATCAGCTCTGTGGATCTTTGGCTAGAGTGCCTTTTCGACGTTACACGGTACCCATCTATGACTCAACTTCAAATGGCGAGAGGGCTCGTTATGGTGTGCAAAAATGAGCTAAAACACGCCCGCACATTTTCCCTCTCTAAGCTTTTTGATTTTGTAACGGTCTGCGCTTCGTTTACTACACGTTTGCAGTGGCGAGAACTATGGTCGAATGCGAGCGAGGTCTTTGTGTTGGCTGGAAGGATGCATGCAAATATAGCTAATTTGTCTCTAGACGGCTTACGAATTATCGCCTTAACATACTTAAGGCACGAGGAACTTCTCAATTATTCCTTTCAAAAGGAGGTTCTCATGCCTTTTGAGAATATTCTGATGAATAATCATGATCATGTTATCCGTAAGCGTGTTATTACGATCATGTCAGAACTAATCGATTTTCTTGCAAAGCACCTGGCGAGTGGCTGGAACGTTGTTTTTTCATGTTTGAGCCGTACCGCTGTTATACCAGAAGTCACTGAGTTAGCTTGGGAGGTCTGCGAGAGTATCATAAGCCGACATTTGAACTATGTCAAGGACTGTTTCAGTGATCTCATATTTTGTCTTACTACTTTTGCTTGTGTTGGTAACACAAACGAAAAGATACCCTTACAGGCTATTTCGTACTTGGTAGCTTGCGGGCGTTGGCTGCAGTACGGTCTTGAGTCCCCGCCGATTGGGTTCTATGAGCCAGAAGATATATTGCACTGGGCGTGTCACTTTCCTGATGCTAAGGTGTCACAAAATCTCTCCAAACCATTTGTCCGTGTTTTTCTCTCTCCTGAGTCTCTCAACGCCACGAGATTGCTTGAGAAACCGAATTCATGCGTGGGGAAGAGTAACTATCACCTCTGGATGTCGTTGTTTGAAGGTTTAATACCGATTGTGGTAATGCACAACTCAGTGCGTGTGCGATGCCATGCTATCAGCTCCATATGGATTTTGTTAAAGCATTACGCTGTTTTCTTCTCAAAAGATATTCAAGAATCATTATTTAGCGTCATGCTGCGCCCTATACTCTCAACCCTCATTGCACATAAAACGAAACCATGTAAAACCAGTTTAAACCAAGCTGACTATCACATGTTGGTTTACCTTTCGCTACACAAAATGCTATATGCATGCAGTGTGGACCAGCATCTTCTCAAGTTGAGTTGGGACACTCTGTTTGAGTTGATGAGGAGTGTCACATGGCAACGAGTAGAGCTACTGGAGAGCAATCTTGCTGATGTATTTGTGAGGGTATGTTGTGACTTTCTTGGAGCAATATGTTTCCCAAAGCTTTCAGAAGAGCTCAGACCATCGATATCAGTTTTATTCAATAACCCGAATATAACCTTTCCGGATTCTAGTGCTCATTCTAGCATCACTTTACGAGCTACCTTGATGACGCACGCACAAGGGTATGTTGAAGGTTCAGAGAGTTGTCGAATGACTAATCCTTTTATTCTAGCTCTGGTGCACCAACTGCAAAGGATCGGTACCGTTGATGTTGTTTGGTCTAAACGGACCGCGACATGGGCTGAGCTCCATATGTCGTCGGAGCCCACAACATCTGGTATTCTGTTTGACCCATCTATGCATACTGATGCCTCCTTCAAACTTGTGTGCGAGATGTCTCTACGTTGCCTATATCAGGGACTAATACTTCCTCTTCGTAATGCTGAAAAAGGTTACTGTACGCAAGATGGTGAAAGCTGTTTTCTCCTCGCTCGAGCTATGCGACACGCCATGCTGGGGATGAGCCTTTACTGCATTACCACAAAGGACATGAGTGGGGTGCAGAAACTGCTGGACATAGTAGAGTTGAAGCCGTCAGAGAATGATGGAGCATCGTTACTAGCACACCTTCTCAATATTCCATACTTATTCCTACTGATAGAGTTTATTTTTACATACCACCCGAGTATCTCAGAGGAAGGCATAAATTTGTTGAGAGATAAGTATACTTTTTTCACCACACAGCTTTCTCAAGCTCGAGAACATTGCCTTGAGCAAGAGACTTTGCTATCGGAAAAGCTTAAGCAAGATGTGACTGATAAAGATTTGGAATCGAAGACCCACACAGGAAACAACTTCAAAGACATATTTCGAAGCGTCTGTATGCCAATTTATTCTCCGCAGACATACTATCGTCCTGACGTTGGTCTGGAAACTCGGCGACACATTTATTATGAGTGGAAATATTTATGCTGTGTTCTCGCTTTTCGTTGCACACTGAGCTCACCTTTTACATCTGTACTTGCATCGAATATTTCATCACCATGTTTGCTAGAATTAGTGACGAAATTACCCAGCTCCATTGAGGAAAGCACCATAGATGAGTTTATGAAAAGTATTTGGAAGGAGCTAGGTCTTCATTACGACATACCGAATGGTGCAACAATCGAAGCTTGCGCTAAATTACTTTATGATCGCATACACGAGACTTCTCCATTTTCCTAGTAAAGAATACAAGGATTCGAAAATTCAAGCACAACAATAAATTGATAAACTGAAGCAATAAATCTAGTTGTACTATCCTCGATTGTTATTTATTATGAAAGTAACACTCTGCTTAAAAGATTGAAATTTATTTTATTTTGCCCATACTTTTTTTATCCTTTTTTTGTTGCTTATTAAGCCTATGAAACAAAACTACAAAGACGATGTCATAACGTTGTCATTTATAATATTGGCTCTTTTTCATCGTTTATGTACAATGCGTTCGGTTAAGTGTACATTCACCTAAAACCCCAAGCCACTTACTTTAGTGATTCTCACTTTTTCTGACCTTCTATTGGTTTTCGTAAATTTAATAGCCGCGACAGGTAGAATAGTAGAATTTGTTGTTTATATTATATATATTTCTGAACGTATCTCTGTAGTTAGAGGTTCTTTTTTATTATTTGGGGAATCGAGCATTGATTCTTCATTTTTTTTCAGGGTATCTACATATTGGTTTGATTATTTTCTGAAGATTTCCGTGTAACTGTCATCACTAGCATCATTGTTTTGGTTTACAACTAGTTACTGGCTCATTTTGTTAGATTGATTGAAGTTGAAGGGCGAGAAATAATACAATACGCCCTATTTATCCAATATACTGAATAATACATATTTAATACAGAGACTGTGGTACTCTGTGAGAAGTGCACAGGGAAGGTCTTTTCCCTTCTTGGGCAGATAAATTTCATCAATGCCTGGAAATGGAAAGCCTGCTCTCCAAAATTCTACTCAGCCGGTCTCGAAGATTAAAAAAATCTGTAAAACTAGCCTTACTAATATTAAAGGGCCGATCAAGCGGAAAAAAGTCGCTTGCGAACAAGCTGCCTTTCCTAGTCCTCGAATGACCCCGAACTCTGTGACAAAAGTTTCGCGTTCTCCTCTACATACAGATTCCCACGTGGCAACCAGAACTCCAAAAAATGAAATAACTCCTGTTGTATCAATTAACCAAACGAAAAACCATTCTATATGTCCTTTATCTGAATTAAAGCCTATTTGCAGCGTATCCAATTGTATATTACGGACTGAAGGATGCAATTCTAATATCTCAGAGCCCTCTCAATATCGTCCATATCCAAAAGGTGACACTCGATTTGGTGTTTGTGTGAAAATAACGAACTTCGGTGCGACGGCAGAGCAGGGAGTGCGCCGTACGATGGAGGACCAGCACGTGATGCTAGGGGATGGGATCCCTTTCTTTGCCATTTACGACGGACACGGCGGGGCGCAATGTGCCGAGTACTTGCGCGATCATCTCCACAAGCTCATCTTAGGCCATCCTGAGATTATGTCCAGTCCCGAGAAGGCGATCTCAGACAGCATTATAAAGATGGATGCTGATTTTTTGGAGCGCCCAGAGGAGGACGGAAACGAATCCGGCAGTGTGTGTGTAGTAGTCATAGTTATAGATGATACGCTTGTGATTGGCAACGTTGGCGACTGCGAGGCAGTGCTCTGCCGTGGTGGTTCCCCAATCGTGCCGACCGTCAAACATACCTTACAAAGTAATACCAAGGAGTTGGAACGGGTGCACGATGCAGGGGGAAAAATATTTCACAATCGTGTTGGTCATCCTAGGTTCAACCCAAGTGTCATTAGCTTAGGTGTTACGCGTGCTATTGGTGACGCAGGGTTTAAGCTAGCTGAGTACACGGACGGAAAGCCCTCCGGCATTATTTCTCAACCAGACACAACCTCTATTAAGTTGACTAGTGGGGATGAATTTTTGGTTGTTGGCAGCGACGGCCTTTGGGATGTGATGTCGTATGAAGAGGTTATCGATTTTTGTTCCCGGCGATTGAAATCTGGAGAGACCGCGCAGAGTATCACTGATGAGTTGACGCAGGCGGCTCTCAATAAAGGTGCTACTGATAACGTCACGACGATGTTGATTTGTCTTGAGTGTTATGCGAAGGACCCTCAGGGTGGTGAGTTTATTTATGAAGGCACAGTCTAGGGAAGTGGTGTATATGTACCTGATAATGCATGAACACCAGAATTAATATTCCCTTGTTAACTTTAGATTCCTAGTCTTCATTGTATTTTTTTTTATCTTGGGACTTTTGTTTTCTTACTCTTGATTAGTGGAAGCTACTTAAAGGGTTGGAAGGGGGGTGGGCCACACAAGCATCGATTAGTTGGCAAAGAGCGCATATACAAAATCTTTAACATCCGCTGAAGGGGCTAACCAAATTACTCACTAATGGTGCTCCGACAAAATGTGTCACTTCAAGGAAATATTGACAGCAATAAAGAATTTAAGGAAAAAAATAACTTTGAAGATATTTTAATTGCGCCTATTTTCTTTTTTTTCTATTTTCTATCCCTGCCGTTTTTTCTTTTCCGCTTGTTCTGTTCATTGCTTTTTTCCCTTTTATAGATGCCAGGCGACTGGTCGATTTCGAAAATGTATTATTATTCGATGTGTGTGCTTTTTTTTACTCAACGAGTATCTCAACTAGCTTATTATTTTCTGATTATAATATTTTTTCATTTCTTGTGTTACACAAATGCATGTTTTTAAATTATTCATTTTTTTCCCCTCTAATTTTTCAATACACGAAAGTGGTTTTATTAACTATTATTAGTTTTTTTTTAAATAAATCTGCTATACAAAGTCTTATATTATAGCCATATTTGAATCAAAATAAGAAGTTAGTTACTTACATTTACATATGTAAATATCCAAATAAATGAATTAATCCATTCTAAACACGATATAGCGGTACCTGACTCAAGTTTTCACATATATGGTCATCAATCTAAAAGTTATGCCTATTGCTTTGATCTTATGGTCATCTCATATCTTTGAGTGCATAGATGAATATAGATAATGTCATTTTAGTTGGTTTCATCCCTGAATTGGTGAAGGAAAAAAGACACACGAGATATACAGAAATCCTTGTTGGGACTTCTTAAAGTAGCATTTTACCTCTAATCCGTGTTAAATGACCTCTCCCTCTCAACCCCTCCCCCCAAATCCGACTTAATTATACCTACAGAACTCCTTTACATACCCCATATTAAACTTCGGTGCGACGGCGAGGCACTACTTTCAGAAGAGGGTCCCTAAGAATACTCACCGAGATCCAAGCCTGATTACTATACGAGTGTAAAACCCTCCAGCCTGATTTCTGATGCAGACATATTTTGTATAACTTTAGAACCGGTAAATTACTTTTTACTTTTCGGATTTGATGGCTTGTGGGATGTTATGTCGTTTGAGGAAGCGACGGAATGTTATTACAATCTCCTATGGGAAAGCTTCTCAAAATGCATCACCAACACCCTTATGAACCATGAATTGAGCAAGGGAACAACAAATAATCTTACTGTGTTGTTTGTGCGGTGTAGTTTGACATCTTCCATTAACCTATCCCAACCGAATGATATATAACAGCAACAATCACAAGATTAAGTGAATAAGATAACGGTTAAATTGTTCTGTTCGGTCAAAATGCTTTTTTTTGCATCTTCCTCGAAAAAAATTAACAGCTTTTTTTAGTAATAACGGCAAATCAAATAGCGTTGTGATAGAATACTTAAGGTTATATAAGCTTTCAGTTTCCCAATTTACATCGGACGATGCCAATTGAGGTAGCAGGTCTACGCTAAAGCATGGTGCTTCTAGTCTTTTTAGTATTAATATACGTGGTTCATATTATCCTTTTTTATCTAAATTTATGTAGGGTGTCAATAATGTCAGGAGTCTCATTAAAAATTCGAAAAAGACATATATATTCTTTATTACAGTAAGTTTTACTGATTTCAATATGCACGTTTCAGTGTCAGGTTTAGAAATACCATTCTTATGAAAGAGAATTGAGGGCTTCTTATGTTTTTTTTAACCTACCATATATGCCTTTTTCACAAATCACAATAATTTAAATATCCAATATTTTTTATCACATTTCAAATAAATGAATGAAAAACAATCTGGCAGCACATCATCAAACATCGTGACAGATACATAGGTTGGATTTTTCTTTCGCCAATATATAAAAAATATCTAACTATTTCAGCGAGATCTAAAAGTGAAACAATTTTTGATATTTTCATGCTCGGTAAATTTGTTTTTATAATTCATTAAAAAATAATTATATAATATATTAAGATACAGAAGCATATTCCAAAATACAATTTCTAGATGATTTCAACCTAAATTTTAGTTACTGATGTTAATACATTACATCTTTATATTTCATGACTATTTCATATATTACCTGACCCATGTCAATAGAAAAAATTAATATGACTCCATAAGAAAAAGAAAAATCCGCATGTTAAAATTTTCGTGTATTCTTTCACTGAGCATCATCCTGGATTAATGTTTTCTTTTTTGAAAGGTGTAGATAATTATGGAATCATATCCTATTGATGTGTTAAATTTAAATGTTCTTATGCATTTTAACTTAAACTCATGATTCTGTGGTAAATCACTAAGTTTTAAACGTATTACCAATCTTTTTAAAAATGGAACTGTTGTTTAAATTTGTTCATTCTGTACAAATTCATGCAAAATTCTATATTTATATTTATGTACACACTTTTTTGAAGTTTCTTCTTATTTTGACGTAAATAAGAAACATTAAATTATCTTGAAGTGTTATAGAAAGCCGATTTGTGTGTAGTTCTATCTGAGTTTATACGCACGTGGTCACAATAACTAGGTCCAATTTATTCTTTGATTTCATAAAAAGAGTGAGCACAAAGTTGACCCTTAGAAGGTGTATATTTATGGAGCCTAATAATTCGAATCCCTGCGGCCAGGATTGTGGGAACTCTTCCGACACCTCTAAATCTTTAAGGCAGTACTTTTCTCCTCCAATCAACTCAAGGTCCTCGCTCCTTGACTTCGTTCCCAGTGGTCTTTCCATCCTTGCCAGAAAAAAGGCACCTTCTACCTTGTTAATACCATCAAAGGAAAATAAGCCCAGATCCTGCGACGTTAATTTTAAATCCTTTAGCAATGCGGAATCAGGCACAGAGCCGCATAGGAGAATTCAAGCCCCACAGCAAGCCGCCACGACTTCCTACATGTCACCAATTTTCCACTTTACGTCTCATGATACTACCATAATCGCAATGGAGCACAATAACCACTACAAGCTTATGGCTATTTCAACTTCTAGACGTGAGATTTTTGTAACGTTAACACAGGAAATGCCGGTGATTGAGAATATGGGCGCAATTAAGTCATTCGAGGACCTTTTTGGCGCAGGAGGGGGCTTGTCGGGGTCGGGGGTGCCACCACCACCTTTTTTGAACGAGGATCTTTTTAAGTGGAACCCGGCCGAGATGACGGTTTTGGTGGATCAACTACAGTATCCATGTACTCAGCTGGAGTGGGGACCCTGGCAGCACGGCGTCTACCTAGCCGGGATCTGCCCTGGCTGGCAAATACGTGTGTACCGCTTTTCACATAGTCGATGGGCACTTGACGCGGATATTAAGGCATCTAATGGGGCTTCTATTGCCTTTTCATCGCAGTGCACATTAGCTTGTGCATGCAATAGTGGAGAGATTTTACTGTTTGTGCGCCGCAGCGCTTCATTAAATGGCGGAAGCCCATGGGTTCTCTGTTGCACAGTTTCCACACGGCCTCAAGACCCTAACATCACTTTCCCACCGAAAGCAATGGATTCGATTCAAGAACCAGGGCCAGGTTCAGTGGATTTAGATCCTCGCTTCTCGAGCACTTCGAACCTTAATATTTCAAATGTCGATACAAAGGTGGGCCACGGTGACCCCTCGACGCGCTGCCTTTGTGTTCACTTTGATGACACTGGCTCTCTATTGGCGTCTGGTTACCAAGACGGCTCGGTTAAAGTGTTTTTAGTAGTTGACGGTGGCACTCAGATCCGCGACGTTGTTTTTTCTTCTAGCTCGACGCACCAAAATGGTATGTGTCGGCAAGTAGTCTGGTCCCCCTCCTCTGGTCGTAACTTTCTCCTCTTAGCTATAGTCTACGCAAATTATTTTACCATCTTACTGTTTCAGAGGCCGCGTCTTCATAGCATATCTTCCAGAAGCACTGGCTTGACAAGTGGTGGCAATATTATTTACCAGCACGCGCACATGCACACCGCCTTAGGGGATTCGGGTGTCGGTGGCCGCAATACTGCCAAAACTGGTGAACGAGCTCTTAAACTTCATGTTCTGGAGAGTACGACAGCTGCCTGTGAGGGCATGTCTAAGTTGTCGTGGAATACCACCGGGACTCGTTTCGTCACGTCTCACGCCGATGGGCTTGTGCATGCATGGGCTGTGGACATAAGCTACGTTCAGCGACACGAACCGCATCATTTGATGCCTTCAAGTTGTGGAAATGACAAAAACATGTCGGCGCTAACAAGAGTGAGCGTACACAGAGGCAAGAAATGTAGTGTTGATGGGACTTCACATTTAATCCATGGTTACCAACAAAAAAACACGGAAAGTGGTGTTGCGTCAGATGAAAACTTAACAGTTCCTCTGCAAGCTCGCTTTTCTGTTAATGCTCTTGAAGGAGACGATAAACTTACTGGTGATCATCGAATTCATGAACCAAAGTTGTCAATTGTTATGACGCTGCGAAAGGTGCTGTCTGCTCATCCATATCACACTGTTATTACCAAATAGTAATCAACAAATTTAAAGTAAAAAAAACATTTTTTTTTTTACACTGGATTTCATGTTTCTCGTTGTGTGCCTGTTATACGCTACGACTCAAAGCTATATGCAATGAAAATTGAATACTCAAGAAAGGTATTTTTATGAATCATTTTTCAAATAGCTTGTTATATATATATGATAACATGAGGGATTAATAGCTCACTTTTACATTTATCATTTAATTTTCTTATTCCAGGTTTAGTTTTTGTTATCTATAGCTGAAGGGGATTTTTTTATCTCTTGATTGGACAAGTGGTAAAACACGTATGTTTTCCAAGGCAGGAAAGAAGCGCGCTCGCGATGGCGCACTTCGGCGATCAACCGCCTCGATAGAGGCTGGTCCTAGTCCCAAAGAAGTGCAGTTGACTGACCAAGAAATCATTGTTTCGAATGCTGTTTCTCAAAATTCTTCTGCTTGTTATTGTGATCCCATCTATCGCATCATGCACGCTTTTCCGCGCTCAGACATTTTAGAGGTGATAAAATGCAAGTTCGGTCGGGAACAATGTAAGCGTGCGGCAGCCTACTTCAAGGAGTCGTACATGCGGAACCCACTACGTCGTTTGAGGCTACAAATTGGTTGTGATGGACCAACAGGACTAAACCTTTTTTTCCCGATGATATCATCTCACCGCTACACATTGCGCACCTTGGATCTCTCCAGAAATAAATTAACTTATGCTGACATAGTTCTCTTATGCGAATCACTTGGCCTCTTAGCGATACCGTCGTCTCTTCCACAATCACTTTCATCGGTTCCTAATTTTCAGTCCTCGTCTGAAAGTCCAGATGTAGGTGCATGCGGTGAAGGGGAACCAATGGGAAGTACGAACACCTCAGCTCTGGAGCTTATAAATTTTAGTTATAATATCAATATAGGGAACAATGGGGTCCTCTACTTGATGCAATGCCTTTCACAAAATTCAACTATACGCGCTGTCCAACTTAAGCATGTTGGCATTGATGATACCGGAGCCTGTTCGCTGGCTCCCCTTTTACGGGCTCGGCCACCTCCGAAAGGTTTTTATTCTCACACTACATCACCTGTCACACCTCAATGCAGTACAACGTTGGGCTTCGACCCGTCTCGCATCCCTGGCTTCTTTTTAGACCTCAATGAGAATTGCATCGGAGCGGTGGGCACATGCCAGCTGCGGCATAGGCTCCCAAGTTACGTTTCACTATCACTATGCAAGCAGCGTATTAGATCTGTTGGATAATTCATAACCTTCTCTCTCTCATGCATGCTTATATTTGCTCTCTCTGGCGTTCACGGCATTTCCACGTATTTTTTCATTTTATATTACACAACAGTTGAATCTTCAGATGAGCAGACTATTGGTATAAATTATTTTGAGCAAACACAATGGTATATATATATATATAATGCGTTAATATAAGCCAATCTATATTTGATTTCATTACTTTTGCCACGCTATTGTGTTTTTAAATGTCTTGCATGATAATTCAAATGTTTGCCTTTTTTAAAATTAATGAACCCATTAATTTAACCTATCTTCATTTTCTTACCATTTGAAGTAGTTTTGAGGGGTGCATTGTGCGAAGGGGCTTTCTCCAGACTTCTTCAACGCTGATTTGTATACATGCAGTCTTTTGATTCATTTTTGGTAGACCATGCTTTGGATGTGGAGCATTCGAACGCTTTTAAAATACTAAACACGTTAGTTGATGAGGGCCTTATTACCGAGGAGCGTGCGTATTATCTTAAGGAAAAGTTCAAAGAGCTACACACTCATGTTCTATCCATCTATAGACGCGACAACATTCTCTTAAAACGAGCTCGCCAGCTCCGAGGTGACCTGGACCGCGAGCGGGAACGGGTGAGATCCCGTGGTGATATCGCTCGTAAAGATGATGATGAAATTAACCATCTGAGGCAAATTCTTATGGGGATCGAAAAGGAGCTCGTGGAGGCGCAGGAACGGGAGAGCGTGCTGCAAGTCGAGGCACTGGAATTTGATCGGCGCAAGCAGAGTCTTATTCTAGAACGTGAGGACGCCCAAGCCGCCGAGGTGGCTCGTCTACGGCCCAAGCTGGAGAGGATCCAAACCGAAATTCAGGAGATGGGGGACCATATTAAAGAGTTAGTGTCCCAATACGATGCTCTCAAGATTGAAAAGCGTCAGCTTGAGGAAAAGGAGGTTGCCAATAAGATGGGGTCTGGTAACTTCAATGTTTCCCTTACTCAAGCCAAACAACACCTCGCTAATATGGATCGTGAACCCGAACGAGCACAAAAACAGCTAGATCTCGTCTGCCGCTCGCTGCAGGGTGCGCGTAAGGAGTTGGAACTAGTTGACGAAAAGATTGCCGCTCAGATGGACACACTTAACAAGCTAGAATTGCAGCTCAGCAACAAAGATAACGATCTTGCGGCAACTTTAGCTAGTATTCAGAAGATTCGGAGCGAAATGGATCCAAAGCAGAGTGCCTTGTCGACGCTCAACGCATCCTTGGGGATGGAACAGGAGTTACGTCAAGGTTATCAAGAAAGGCTTGTTGAGTTAGGAAACCTTATCAAGTCAACCAAGGCATCTGAAAAGGAGGAGCATGATGGGATAGAGAAGCTTCGGCGAGAAAAAGAGCGCTGTATGAATGAGTACAAGAATCTTCAGTCCGAACATGACAACATTATCTATGCACAGCGATCGCTTAAGGATCAAATCTCGCGAATTTCTGCTGAAATGAGAGTGACGGAGGGGATGAGGAAGGAGTTATCCCAAAAAATTCAGGACCTGACGAACACCTTAGAATTGCACACGAAGCGGTTTCTCATAGAACAAAATAAAGAACAAGATTTTACAAAACAGGCTCGGGATATGATTGAAAACTTGTCCGATGTCAAGGAATGTATTGCTGAACGGATTCGCCAGGAGGAGCTAAAGCGTCGTGAGATTTTGTCTACCATTGCTCAGCGACAGGAAAAGAGCCAAGACTGCACTCGTGAATATAACCGGTTGATGCTTGTGAAAAATGAGCTGCAAACCAAGGAATTATACGTTGAAGATATGCAGAAGCGTCGTAACGCTCTCGAAAAACGCTTGAACGCGCTCACAGGTGGCTTCCAGAAGTTGCGGCATGAGCGCAGCCACAAAATGATGCTCATAGAACGCTTTAAGCAGAAGATATCAGAAGTGGCAGAGAAGATGAAGATCATTGATAAGGAATTAGTTGTGCTTAAGCGTGAGGATTACCTAAAGGAGAAGCTGCTGCTTCAGAAGAAGCAACAATGCTCGGAATTGCACCAAGCATACATGAATCTGGGTCTGGAAAGAAATAACCAACGCAAACAGATGGATATCGCCGCAGACGTTGCGATGGATGTGTGTAAGCAGGTGAAATCTCTGAACATTGAAGTCGTCTCTGTTGAAAAGACTATGACGCAACTGAGAGACGACTATGCCGCGGCCATCGAGGCGCGCAACCAGACGGGAATTCATCTCATTGATTTAAACACCAAAGTGGCACTTCTGAAAGAGACTGTAGGGGCACAAGAGGTCGCGCTTCAGGAAGGCATGCGTATGATAAGCACTCGTACTGAGGAGGTGCGGCGCTTGAATATACGGCTTTCCGACCTACGCCGTGAGATCGAGCTCTGCGAGCGGTCGGTGCCAAAGGCGAAAAAATTGGAGGAGGAGCTCGCCCAACTAGCCGAAGACATCGATGATGAGCGCTGGAGGACTGAGATTCTCGAAAATGATTTAACAGATCCGAAAAATCCCTATCGCTGGCGTAAGGTAGGGAAACTGATTACTGACAGTTCATTAAAGAATGATGAAAAGCATTTGCACAATACAATTGCTGCGGGATCTAACGACAAGCAGCGTGCGCCTGAGGGCACGAGTAGCCGTATTGGTACCTCAGCAGGGGTGAGTATTGATAAGGGAGGAACTCCCGCTGATGAAAATGAGCGTATTTCTGAGGAGTATATACATCTTCAGGACCGTGCCCAGGCTCTTGAGAATGATTTGAACAAAATCAACGGAAAGTTGCATGAGAAGGAGCTTATTTTGGCCGAGGTTCAAGATTTAGCAGAGCGCATTGGCGCGCAGGCACAAAGCGGGAAAAAAGTCACGATCTCACTCGCTAAGCAGGTAAACCAATACCAGTGCGGAATTCGTAATCGTAGCCGGCAAATGATGGCCACTGTCTCGGAGCTTTCCCTCTTTCAGGCTTCGAGTATTCAGCTTCAGCAGGAGGTAGCTCGCCTCGAGCATGTTTTTGAGGAAGCCAAACGCCGCATGGAGGCGGGCGAGGCCCCCTTTGAGGACGCTGAGCAAGAATTTAAACGCAAGAAAATAGAGCGACAGTACTACGCGGCTTTTCAACAGCGCCGGCAGGCGGCTAAGGAGGCGGAGTATGGGGATCAAAAGAACTCAAATGTCGTCTTCACGACTGCTGAACTTCGTCCGAATTCTTATATCCCCCATGATGACAGGTTGCCAATCCCACGACCATTCGGTGCGCACGCCCCTTTTAAGCCTACTTTTCCCGTATTAACTTCCGTTTTCGTCCCACACGACGGGTCTGGCGACTCTGTCGCCATGACACCGTCCCGAAACGCGGCCGAGGCTTCAACAAGGATTGAGAAAAGGATACCTCCCCTCCCACCTCCTCCGCACCTGAGAGAGAATCTACCACTTGGAACGGAATAGACGAACCTAGGATTGACCCTACCGAACCAACCCCCCTACAGTACAGGAATAGAGCTT